AAAAAGGATGATTGCTAGGCTACAATTTCCTCTCTGAAGGCGAATAAAGTTTTGAAGTGATCCGCTCAAACAATTTCGTGATTTGGTTATATCAACAACTCTTTTTCAGTGGAGAGGGTTCACAGCCGCTTTTAATTAATTGGGTCTGGGGAGAGTAAGGGGATGTAATGTGAAGTCATAAACGATTACAAAGTTTTCAGAAGCTTCAGTTCACCAACATAATTTTTCTGGTTTATATTTCCACTAGGTCATGGACGTGGGAGACGGAGTCATGTGTTATCAGACATCTCGCCATGCACCTCGGAAGGCAAGAAGAAGTGGTTGGAATGTATGAGAAAACAAAACGAAAATAGAAAGGGCTATTCGAATGGTATTCATGTTGAATATGACATGAAATGCTCTTACAAGACGCACAGTTGTTATTACGTGTTTACCTGCAAACCAGAAGGTGGAGGTGGCTACGCATGCTCACAAGATGCTCATTTCCTTGACTATACCGGTCTCTGTTGTTATCCCATATGTTAAAAGTTGTTAATCATCGCTCATTTGTGACTAACCACCGATCATTTTTGGCATAAATGCTAACTCTTGATTATTTGTTTACTTTTCCTTAAAAGTCTTGCCGAAATTTTTTCAGAAGATGTTTTTTTATTCGCTTTACGCAAGGCAGGTAGATGCAGGATATGATTTTTACAAAATGCATTCTTAGAATGATTTGTCAGTGGAACGTTCACTTATGTCACTGTTTTCTAAATATAGCTATAATTTTATTTTTACGTTTGGTGAGGATTGATATGCGTGAAATCTACCATATTCTAGCGTTTAGCTGGAAAATAATGAGTAATCAGGGAAAAAAGGCAAACCGTGATGAACTGGAGTAAACGGAGATCAGCCATATTTTCTCCTTTTCTTTGTTTTGAAACATGTTGGATACTTTTTTCTTCAATTTTTCTGAATAAACTTCTCTTTTTGGGCAAAGGTGCTTCAAGTCAGTGTAGGTAAAAAGAATAGGCTAAGGATAAATCATCTACAAACATTGATTCATGTAACAATGTAATTGCTTTTATAATAAATTTCTGTGTAGACTTCACTTGTATACCAGCATTTCAGAAGGGGCGAGTAAGTGGGGAACCTCAACCATGATGACATGGAATGAACCCAAACAAGCTTGATTGTAAACAGCTTTACTCCGCTTTACTTTAACCAGCTGTATTATCTTGAAACTTCCGTTTCAAATGCCCTACCCCAACCAGGCAAGGTTCAAATCCCCCACCCCCCCGGGAAAAGGACGATGGTTAAATGCCCGTGGGTTGTCTAGCGCATAAAATGGACTGAAATGATGACAATAAAGTGCCGTTTAGCTTTAAATCAAAATGGGGCTGGATTAATCATGAAAAACCTGAAATTAAATCTGTAATATGCTCGAAAATGTATTTTTGATAGCTTCAACGGACGAAGAAAGATAATAAAAACGATATTTACTTTTTAATATCTATTCCACTCAACTGCTTTTTTTTTCTTTTTTAATTTTTTACGTTTCATCCTCAAGGTTTTCAAAATCGAATGTTTAAAACAAAGTTCTTGTCCTGAAAGGTCAGATCGAAACCCTTTTTAAATACCCAAGGGAACTTGAGACGAGACCCCCATTGGCAGTTCCAATTCCGATGGATTTCTCCCTTCCCCGCTGAGTTTCCCTTCGACCGTGTCTGGCACTTTCGAGTTTTTTCAGACTTTTAATCATGAGTAAAAGAATATGCGGGTTATGGAGCTTCTGAATTGTTTTATATCTAAATCATCCATTACTTCAGCGAAAGGCAATAGCCTAATCAATTGTATATCGCTAAAGGTTCATAACAAACCGTATTAGTAATCGAGGCTCATGTAATATCAAAACGAAATCTGCGTGAGAGTAACATACACATTAACTAGACCCTGTGAGCAGGGTAACTGGGATACCTGGATGGTATTGGATCCTTGGAATCAAGTGAAGTGATACTACGGGTGTCGGACTAGTATACTGAAATATTGCGCTCAAGTCTGGCCAAGGGCATACACCTATTTCAAAACATAGGCATGCTATGCGTGCAAGAGTTCCTTTTTTGTAGGGTGGGTGGATTACTTGAAACATTGCGAGTGATGTCTACATTCTTACAAAAGGAGAGAGGAATATTAATGTGGGAAAGAACGAAAATGTGATGATGATAGATGATGTGAACAACAGTGATGGTAAAGCAAGCCAGAAAATACAACGGATACACAGGGTATGAGTAAGTTTTATTGATTTTACGAGAAAAATGTTCATATTTCGAAATATGTATCGTTGTAAATCGACCATACTTCGTTCCCTGTACTATTCCTTATAACGTGCAGTTCCTCTCGTAACTTAACACCGAGTCACACAACGCGTGACACGTTCATGAATTAATCATTGGCTTTTTCTCGAGACGTGAGCTTGGGCCGCTTGTGACAAGGAGATCGCAATCCAAATACGCTGAAATACAAAACAAGTGACCAAAGAGTTTTATAAGCAAAATCTCGTGTAAAAGTAGATGATGTGAACAACAGTGATGGTAAAGCAAGCTTAAAACGGCAGAAATCGCCAGAAAATACAAAGGATACACATGGTATGAGTAAGTTTTATTGATTTTACGAGAAAAATGTTCATATTTCGAAATATGTATCGTTGTAAATCGACCATACTTCGCTCCATGGACTATTCCTTATAACGTGCAGTTCCTCTCGTAACTTAACACCGAGTCACACAACGCGTGACGCGTTCATGAATTAATCGTTGGCTTTTTCTCGAGACGTGAGCTTGGACCGCTTGTGACAAGACAATTGCCTAAACAATATTTAACATAACAACATTATACACAAAAAAACACAGGGTTTTGGATCACGTATTTATTAAAAAAGAATATCGATACAACTACAATGAAAACAAACATAAGATTCACCTTTCTGATCGTGAAATTAATACCATTCGTACTGTTATCGTAGCTACGTTCCTTGCCATCAAGTGAATCCAACATGTCGTCTTTCTTCACAAGCAGTTTGCATCCCATATAGTTATGTTCTTCAGTCTCACGGTAGTAGCGTTGTTCAATAGATTGCATAGAGTATATGCAGTTTGGTTTCAGATTTCAGATTTTGCTTTTTACAACAAGTGAACGTTTTTCAACTAAGACATTGACATACTTAGCATACAAGGCATTCAAGGCTTTCATGGCTTTCAAGCGTTCGCGACTCAATCCGTTCCAAAATTACCGCTCAATAACATCTTTCAGTGTGGATTAGCCGCGATTAATACGACTTGTATATGCGTCTGTAAGTATTTTGCGCGTTTGCGCTATAATGCTCCAGGAGATCGCAATCCAAATACGTTGAAATACAAAACAACTGACCAAAGAGTTTTATAAGCAAAATCTCGTGTTCGTCATGTGACCCGGCCCTGTCTGTGCATGACAACGTCAATCATCATCAAGATAACACGCGTGATCAGCATGTGAACGCCTCCTTGGATCACAGTTAGTTGTCATGGTGTTGAGGGATAACACGCGTGATCAGTACGTGAACACCTCATTGGATCACAGTTAGTTGTCATGGTGTTGAGGGCCCAATGACCTCTGGGTACTATTGCGCAATTTTTCCATTTTGTGGCGGAGGAAAAAAAGACTAGACCCTGTGAGCAGGGTAACTGGGATACCTGGATGGTACTGGATCCGTGGAATCAAGTGTAGTGATACTACGCGTGTCGGACTAGTATACTGAAATAGTGAACTCAAGTCTGGCCAAGGGCATACACCTGTCTCAAAACATAGGCATGCTATGCATACAAGAGTTATTTTTTGTAGGGTGGGTGGATCACTTGAAACATTGTAAGTGGTCTACATTCTTACAAAAGGAAAGAAGATTATTAACGCGGGAAAGAATAAAAATGTCGAATTACCTCACACACAGGTATTTTGTGGTAGATTATGTGTGTTGTGCGAATAAATGTAACCAAAAATAAACTGTATTGGTGCCACGGATACCTGTTAGTACAAAATGTAGACAGCAGACTGCAGACCGGATACAAAATATAGACTGCAGAGTGGGTACAAAATGCAGACTGAGAATCTGAAGAGTTTTTACGTCTGGTATATAATAACATGTCATCTTTCAGCTTACCGAGCGTCACGCAATCGCTTTTCCGCGATAAGCCTTCACGATTATTTGCACTATTGTGGAAAATTCCTGGCCCATTTCTTGATGAAAATCGATCGTAATATAATTTCAAGCCTTCAACATAGTTGGTTGGTGTGATGTCTGTACAGATTTTACCAATGTAATAAAAGTAGATGACGTGAATAATAGTGATGGTAAAGCAAGCTTAAAACGGCAACAATCGCCAGAAACTACAACGGATACACAGGGTATGAGTAAGTTTTATTGATTTTACGAGAAAAATCTTCATATTTCGAAATATTTATCGTTGTAAATCGACCATATTTCGTTCCCTATACTATTCCTAATAACGTGTTCAAATTTTCAACGGTTCCTAGCATAACTTACTCTGAGTCACACAACGCGTAACGCGTTCGTGAATTAATCGTTGGCTCTTTCTCGAGACGTGACCTTGGTTTGCATGTGACAAGACAATTGCGTAAACAATACCTCACATAATAACATTATATACAAAAAACACGGGATTTTGGATCATGTATTTATTAAAAAAGAATATCCATACAACTACAATGGAAAAAAAAACATAAGATTCACCTTTCTGAACGTGAAATTAAGAGTGATTGTCAGTAAAAATCAAAGAAATCGTGGCCACGGTCAAAAAATCGATTTCGCTCATACTTTGTCAGTTTGAAGGCCTAGGTAAGTAACTGAAGGATATGAGGTTAGTTTTTTGAAATATTCCATATAACGGCAGAAAACCACGAAAAACGGTCACCCTACCGGAAGCTCGGATTTCACCTGGCGGAAACTCGAAATTTTACACTTTTCAGCTTCTCGCTACACAGACGTTTACATAGCTGTGAATCTTTCTTAAGTATAATTGAATACATTGATTCTTCCTTAGTCAAACCATGGGAATTATTTTTATCTCTGCTTATTTGTGAGCGAACTGAGACCCGATTAAGAAGACACACTTTTCTCATTTACGCGAAGCTGTAAAGTAATCCAAACTCAGCGACGAAAAAAGCTGACCGGTAGTTCTTCAAATCTTCTGATATTATAACCAAAGACAGTTCAGTCATTGATTTTTAGGTCTATGGTTTTAAATCTTTAGGATCTAGTAGCACTTTTGCATGAACGCCGATCAAAATTCGATAAAATTCCAATTGAGCGCCTTTGAAATCTACAACTCTACATAACAAAGCACTTAATTGAATAAATTAACTCCTCGGCCAAAGTTTGTACATGAAACACGAGGGTTTTACTTTCTTAGCGGTTTGAACCTTTTAAAAATATATATTGATGTTTAAAATATTGTCTACACAGGTATGGTATGAAACACCAAAATTACCACGAGCGGAAATTAAATCTGACAGGCTCGCTCCCTAATCTGTGTCACGCACGAGCGACTTCGCTACAATTAGTACAGTAACAAACAGATATTTACATCTGTTAATTTACAATAAGTCTTACTTTAAAATATCTTACTCAACGATGTGCCAGGTTCCCCAGTTAACTTGCTGAAGTAAAAATAAAAGAAAATATCATAATAGCAATTCAAACTGAAACGATAAGAATTGATTTTATTAAGAATGAGAAGCTTTATGCCGGCGATAGCCAATCAGAAGTACCTGTTCTCACGAAAATTGCATCGTTCTTTAAATAAATAAATCGAATTATCTTTATCTGTGAAACATTACATCTAAAACCAGAGTTTATTGTCGGGGAACTTCATAGAACAGCGATGTCTTGCTCGTTCTTGAATATTGTTGGTGGGATTTGCGGCGCAGACGAACGCACAAGTTCTTCAACTTCCGTCACGCCTCTCACGCGGTGTAACAGGGATATCAAAAATCACAAAAAGTCGTTGAAATTTTCCGGAATTGAAACGGAGGTAGAATTAATTTTGGCAAGATGTGGATGTTTTCAAAAGCCGGCGAATTTATCGGATATGACTATCTGTCCGGTTCATCGTGCCAAGTTAGGTTTAGGTAGGCGAAGGACGGGTAATCTTTGCACCATCCCGGAAGTTGTTTCTGGTCATTGCAAGGAGCTGAGGAAGGCACCCGCACTGGAAAAAGGAATAAATTTATTCCAATCCATGAAGATATTTGAGCTTTCAAAACAGCTCGTCCCTGTGGGTTCAGGTAAGCAACCAACTACTTGATGTTCTACCAAACAGAAACTGTCTCCAATGAATTATTTTTAGTCTATTCATTCTGATGACTTGAGATTATATGAAAGAATCATTTGTTTAAACGACGGAGAGAAATAAGTAAGGTTGATGAAGGACATTTCGTTACTTATCTCTTCATCCAGTTGTCCAATCCAATTTTTTTATAACAACCTTTATTTCATGCCTCTCATTTTTTTATGGATTGCGCTTATATTAGTGTGTGCACTGTATAGTGCCCTACCCACTTTGTCGCCAGGTGTGTGAGTGAGTGAGTGCCGGTGTCCGTAAACAAACAGGTCCGCAGCGCGTGCACAGCACTACCCACATGTATACAATGAGTTCCTATTTTTTATCAGTATCTCTCAGTTCGTACGCGGGGTGTGATTGGTCAATTTTGCGCGGCCCACTAAACTTTAACTAGTTTCCATTCCCACGCGCCCGATTGACCTCAGAGACATAATGAATATCTTACTAACCTCGTTTCACGGTCTGTAACTTACAGTACGCACCTGGAATTCGGTTAGTAGGGGTTAATTTACTTTGTTTAAAACATTTCAATTTCGTTTCGCAAAAAGCCACTTGAGAAATATATAAACAATAAACAAAAAAAAAGGGTAGTCTAATCACAATGCTACTCCCCCCCCTTCTTCTCACCTCTTATCGCGCAGTCAACTTTCGATTGTTATTTTATTCTGTGGGTCGACAAAACTTCAGACTTTTGTGTTTAAAAAATACGCGCCTTTCGGTAATTTCGGAGTTTTGACGGGAGTTTGACTATGTTTTTTCTAAAGGAATTTGCGTAAAATGCAGGAAGATGCTTAGTGTGTATAAGGAAAGAGCACCTGAGAAATGTTCACAATGTCTTCTTGAAAGATGGCTTAGTACTCAATTTCTGCGATGGGGGATCAACCACTTCAAGAGTTTCCGGGACCTGCAAAACTCCTTCAAACTGAGACCACGGTAGCAACTTTCCAGGACCCACATTAAATGCCCTCCACGCTCGTATTCCGTTCTCCTCATACTTGAAGTTGTTGAGTAAGCTTACACCATCCCATTTGACGTGCCGAGTGCTTGACGGGTTGAATGGAATGTAACTAGCCTTAGCGCAAGATCCTGGACCAGACTCTATGGCTGTTTTGAGCTGAATTGCTGTTGTCACATCATTGCCCTCGTTTACATATCTTCCAATGTCTCCTTTAATAGTCGCTGCTTGGCGGTCGCATATTCCTTTTCCATCTTGAGGATCGGAAAAGTCGTTCCGTTCCACGCCCACGCCAGCAAAAAAAAATATATTCCTATTCCAGTGCGGCTACTTTTCACAGCTCTAGCTGAGTGACCCGAAACAACTTCCTGTATGGTGCAAAAATTAATACTTTTGAACATGATTTATTACTCAGTAAGTGACACAGGCATAATCGGAAAAAAAATCCGAGTGCTTCATGGGACATGGACAAACATCCTGCATACTGCTAGGATTGGAATGTCATGTGTGGCATACGCGCAGTGGAATAAATGTGATGGAATATTTTTAAGCCTGGTGAATAAATGAGAATGATGTATTGTTCAGTAAGTGACACAGGCGTACTCGGAAAAAAAGAAATCCGAGTGCTCGCGGCCATCAGGAGTCGAAACTATCGACACCATGTCAGGTTATGCCTAAGTGACACGATGAGACGGTACGGGTAGTCATCTCCAATAAACTCGTTGGCTTTTAAAAACACGCAATCTTGCGTAAATCAATTCTGGTTCAAGTCCGGAGAGTTTTTTAAGACTTCGTGCAATGTTTTATATCCTTGTTACACAGCGTGAGCAGTGTGATGAAAGCTGAGTAAGGGTAGAAATTAGCCATTGGAAGTTACTTAGCAAGTGCGTTCGTCTGCGCCGCAAATCCCACCGACAATATTCAAGAACGAGCAAGACGTCGTTGTTATGTATGTCTATTAACTTCGCCAACAACATACTCTGGTTAAGTAGATTTGTTTATTTAGAGAACGATGCAATATTTGCTTTTCGTGGAAACAGTTACTTCCGATTGGTTTTCGACGGCACAAAACTTCTCATACTGAATAAAATCAATTCTAATTGAGCTAGAATTACTATTAAGGTTTTCTTTTTTTTTCAGCAAGTTACCTGGGAAACCTGGCACATCTTTGAGTAAGATATTTTAAAAATACGACTTATTTAAAATCAACGGATGTAAATATCTGTTTGTTACTGTACTAATTGTAGCTAAGTCGCTCGTGCGTGACGCAGATTAGGGAGCGAGCCTGTCAGATTTAATTTCAGCTCGAGGTAATTTTGGTGTTTCATAGTTTGTTTTACCTGTGTAGATAATATTTAACATTGATATATATTTTTAAAACGCTTCAAACCGCTAAAAAAGCAAAACCCTTATGTTTTATGTACAAACTTTGGCCGAGGAGTTAATTTATTCAATTAAGTGCTTTGTTATGTAGAGTTGTAGATTTCAAAGGCGCTCAATTGGTATTTTATCGAATTTTGATCGGCGTTCATGCAAAAGTGCTACTAGATCCTAAAGATTTAAAACCGTAGACCTAAAAATCAATGACTGAACTGTCTTTGGTTATAATATCAGAAGATTTGAAGAACTACCGGTCAGCTTTTTTCGTCGCTGAGTTTGGATTACTTTACAGCTTCGCGTAAATGAGAAAAGTGTGTCTTCTTAATCGGGTCTCAGTTCGCTCACAAATAAGCAGAGATAAAAATAATTCCCATGGTTTGACTAAGGAAGAATCAATGTATTCAATTATACTTAAGAAAGATTCATAGCTATGTAAACGTCTGTGTAGCGAGAAGCTGAAAAGTGTAAAATTTCGAGTTTCCGCCAGGTGAAATCCGAGCTTCCGGTAGGGTGACCGTTTTTCGTGGTTTTCTGCCGTTATATGGAATATTTCAAAAAACTAACCTCATATCCTTCAGTTACTTACCTAGGCCTTCAAACTGACAAAGTATGAGCGAAATCGATTTTTTGACCGTGGCCACGTTTTTTTAATTTTCCTTGATTTTTACTGACATTTACTCTTAATACCATTCGCACTGTTATCGTAGCTACGTTCCCTGGAGTCAAGTGAATCCAACATGGCGTCTTTCTTCACAAGCAGTTTGCATCCATTTTAATTTTGTTCTTCAGTCTCACGGTAATAGTGTTGTTCAATAGATTGCATAGAGTATATGCAGTTTGGTTTCAGATTTCAGATTTTGCTTTTTACAACGAGTTAAGGTTTTCAACTAAGACATTGGCATACTTAGCATACAAGACATACAAGGCATTCAATGCTTTCATGGCTTTCAAGCGTTCACGATTCAGTCCGTTCCAAAATTACCGCTCAATAGCATCTTTTTGTGTGGATTGGCCGCGAACAATACGACTTGTGTATGCGTCTATAGGTATTTTGAGCGTTTGCGCCATAATGCTCCAGATGATCGTAATCCAAACACATTGAACTACAAAACGACTGACAAAAGAGTTTTATGGGCAAAAATCTCGTGTTCGTCATGTGACCCAGCCCTGTCCATGCATGACAACGTCAATCATCATCAAGATAGCACGCGTGATCAGCATGTGAACACCTCATTGGATCACAGTTAGTTGTCACTAAAAGGAGGGGTCGAACTAGGAGCAAACATTTACGCTATGGAGTGAAAAGTAATTAGTGCGATGCGGGTTTAAATAATTTATTTTAAAAAGTTGGATTGGTCACATTTGGATTCTTGGGCCAACAAGTTGGTAACTTCAGTCTAATGTTATTCAAGAACTCTATGAATAACTATCTTCATATCTAAATACAAGTTTCAGTCTGAAACATACATATGACAAAATACGAACAAAACATAAATAACTTTATTTGCCAAACTTAAACAAGTCCCATCTTCATTACCATTTTATTTCAGCTTCGAGTGGTACTATACATTTGTTTTTTTTGTTACGAGTGTTATTTGACCACTAAACGCTTCTCTTATCAGTTGATGGAGGTTACTCTTCAAGGGGTGCTTGGAGCGAGTATAACACGTCATTTGGAATAGGATATCAGTCGCGCTCTCGAACGTGTACCAATCCCGCGCCAAAATATGGAGAACGAACATGCGATCAACAGCGGAGACTGGGACAAGCTAGACAAAGGAGGATATGCAACACAAATGTTAATTGTCGAGGTAACAAAACAACTATTTCTATTTTTCAGGGGGTCCTAACTGAGAGGCTGGAGTCTGAAATTTGCGATGTGGGTTCCTTGGTGACTAAACGCCACACACGACAGATAATCGATTGTTAGAAAGAAATTGTTTTTCTCTTTTCAGAGAATGAAAGATACACTTCACGGTCTCCCTGGCAGAGTGTGAGGGGAAAGTGCAGCACAAATGTTAATTGTATAAATTCTAAATACTGAATTGTCTTGAAGTTTAAATGCATATTAAAAACTGGTCCATTGTTCCGGCTCGACTTTTCCATTAAGCCTCAAACGAAAGTCCTTTCGTTATCTGTAGCGTTGAGGGACTTTGGCCTAAGGGAGGCGGAAAAGCTCGTAACTGATCGAGGAAATAATCGGAGTGACAATTTTGCTGCATTGGGGGAGTGGGTAGTTTAAAAATGCCCTGGTAAGATCAATCTCCATCGGCTTACCCAAGGGTACCCTCGATGAGTGCATCTAGCTAAAGGTTCGCAATTTCAAAAATAATTAAAGTTATCCGTGATGCAGTGACTCAAAAACCACCTCTCTCTATATGCAAATCAAGTCGCCTGGTAAAAAGTCAACGCACAAAAATATTTCTCGATCTTACTACTAGTGTTAAATGCAATCGAAGGTGACGGTTTTCTGTAGAGAGCCTCGAGGTGATTAAAGATCTTGTTTCTGGCGCATAGCTGTTTTCAAACGAGGCGCTTATTTTTTAGAACCAACATGTTTACCTAACACGAGGATCCTTCTTTACAAAAGCGCCGAATTAGTGCAACTATATTGATGATACAAGATATACTGATCAAAGCAATGATTTCTTATTTGCGGGAGCACCTATTTGAGTTATTTTCATTTTCAATCAAATGCGTGGCAAGACGAGGGTGTGATATTTTTACTCACAAGTCTCAAAATGAAGAAGATGCGAGTTTTTTTTATTTGTATTTAAAAAAAAAAAGCAGGTCTTGCTTGAAAGTAAGTCTCTCTCATTAAAACTAATAGAGTTTTACAGCGGATTCTAACAGTCTTTGTTAAAGGTAAACCGCTATCAAACAGTTTCTCCAAATTTTCGCATAAAGCGGGCGCTGGCGCACAGCTGTTTTCGAACTAGACCCTCTGAGTAGGGTAACTGGGATACCTGGATGGTACTGGATCCTTGGAATCAAGTGTAGTGATACTACGGGTGTCGGGCTAGTATACTGAAATAGTGCGGTCAAGTCTGGCCAAGGGCATACACCTATTTCGAAACATAGGCATGCTATGCATGCAAGAGTTACTTTTTTGTAGGGTAGGTGGATTACTTGAAACATTGTGAGTGATGTCTACATTCTTATAAAAGGAGAGAAGAATATTAATGTGGGAAAAAACGAAAATGTCGAATTACCTCACTCACAGGTATTTTGTGGTAGATTCTGTGTGTTTTGCGAATAAATGTAACCAAAAATAAACTGTATTGGTGCCACGGATACCTGTTAGTACAAAATGCAGACAGCAGACTGCAGACCGGATACAAAATATAGATTGCAGACTGCAGAGTGGGTACAAAATGCAGACTAAGAATCAGAAGTGTTTTTACGTCTGGTATATAATAACATGTCATCTTACAGCTTACCGAGCGTCGCGTCACGCAATCGCTTTTCTGCGATCCGCCTTCACGATTATTTGCACTATTGTGGAATATTCCTGGCCCATTTCTTGATGAAAATCGATCGCAGTATTATCTCAAGCCTTCAATATAGTCTTCTTACTTTGCGCGCGAGTTGGTTGGTGTGATGTCTGTACAGATTTTACCCACGTAATAAAAGTAGATGACGTGAATAACAGTGATTGTAAAGCTAGCTTAAAACGGCAGAAATCGTCCGAAACTACAACGGATACACAGGGTATGAGTAAGTTTTATTGATTTTACGAGAAAAATGTTCATGTTTCGAAATATTTATCCTTGTAAATCGACCATACTTCGTTTCCTATATTATTCCTTATAACGTGTTCAAATTTCCAACAGTTCCTCTCGTAAATTAACACCGAGTCACACAACGCGTGACGCGTTCATGGATTAATCGTTGGCTTTTTCTCGAGACGTGAGCTTGGGCCGCCT